GCTGAGTTTTAGTCGGTTTAGCTGCGTGTACATCACAATTCCACGGGAGCAAAGGAAAGACGCAAAATGTGCTACTGGTGGAGAAGTCGGGTTGTTTTTCTTTCTTTCTTTTAAAAAAAGTTTCTAGTCATTATGGTTGCGATGGAATGCTTCAAAGGCAGTGCTTTTCTTCTTTAAAAAATGTTTAGGGGTACTCTCATTTTGACTCAAGAAAATCACCATTTTATAGTTCAAATCGGGAAAGATAAATACAGTAAATGGACAAAAGTACAAAGATTCACAATACATAGGATCTTGGAGAGTGATTTAATGAAGAGCCTACAACACCGCCTCATAAACACCTCAACAAATCCAGTTACGGACTTCCTACAAATCAGTACACTCTTCAGACCCTACTTAGCTAAGCCCAAGGCCACAAATTGTACACAGGGAAATCAGAGAGGCTGGTTTGACGAGCAATGCAAGGAAGCAAGGAAAGATCTGCTAAGTGCTATTAGAATCTATCGGGGGATTTGATTCCCTCCCTCCCTCTCTTTCTTTTTTCTTTTCCTTCTCCTCCTGCAATGATGCTACATTTTAATATTTTAATGTCCCATTATTTTAATGTTGTATTTTATTTTTGTTTTTAAGTTGTAATCATTCTTCTTGTTTTTATTATTGCTTGTAAGCCGCTCTGAGCCCGGCCTTGGCTGGGGAGGGAGGGTATAAATAAAAAATTATTATTATTAACCTTTAGGGGTATGCGTACCCCTGTGTACCCCCAGAAAAAAGGACTGCTTAAAGGTTTGGGGGCAATGCTTGCTGTAATCTCAGAAGGGTGACTGCGTGCCTCCTTCCAATGAGCAGAACCAGAAGAAATTGAACTAATTAAAATTACAGAGTACAGTGGAACCTCGGTTTTCGAATGTAATCCGTTCTAGAAGTCCGTTTGACTTCCGAAACGCTCGAAAACCGAGGATCAAAGGGCTGGCTGCAACGTGAATGGGAAAATAATGAAAAACACACCTTGAAAGCCGTTCGACTTCCAAGGTGCATTCGAAAACGTAAGCATTCACTTCTTTTAAACAAATACACATGCATTTGTTCTTTTATTTTCTGGTGAACTGGTTAAATGCTACATCCTGATTAAAGTAATGCCTGTCAAGTTCTCTTGTTGTAAAATAAAAATAAAAAAGTAAAAAAGTAAGCATTCACTTCCGGGTTTTCGGCATTTGGCTTCCAAAATGTTCGGCAGCCGAGACGTTTGAAAACCGAGGTTTGAATGTTTGGTTTGTTTGTTTTTTAATGCAGATCAAAAGATGCAAACTGAGAGATGGAAATGAGGGATGTCATGAAAGGCTCAGAGTACAGTGGTACCTCCAGTTACAGACACTTCAGGTTACAGACTCCGCTAACCCAGAAATAGTACAGTGGTGCCCCGCAAGACGAATGCCTCGCAAGACGAAAAACCCGCTAGACGAAAGGGTTTTCTGTTTTTGAGTTGCTTCGCAAGACAAATTTCCCTATGGGCTTGCTTTGCAAGACGAAAACGTCTTGCGAGTCTTGCGATTTTTTTCCGCTTCCCCCCCCTTTTTCTAAGCCGCTAAGCCGCTAATAGCCTTTTAGCCGCTAAGCCGCTAAGCCTTTAATAGCCACTAAGCCGCTAATAGGGTTGCTTCGCAAGACGAAAAAACCGCTAGACGAAGAGACTCGCGGAACGGATTATTTTCGTCTTGCGAGGCACCACTGTACCTTGGGTTAAAAACTTTGCTTCAGGATGAGAACAGAAATCACATAGCAGCGAGAGACCCCATTAGTTAAAGTGGTGCTTCAGGTTAAGAACAGTTTCAGGTTAAGAACGGACCTCTGGAACGAATTAAGTTCTTAACCCGAGGTACCACTGTACATGTCTGTCCAGAAGTAAAGCAAGACTTAATTGTCTCTATCCAGCAAGACAGGTACAGAGAGAAGAACTCCCAGCACTATGACAAATTCCAGCCCCATCTAGTGAGTAAACTAGGCAATTTTTATATTTAGGAAAGATGAGGGAGACTGCTTCCACACTGGGCAATTATTGTGGAGTCATACTTTGATCATATTATTATTTATTATTATTACTCTGTGACTTTAACCCCTTCCAAAACAGCATTGTCGTTATATCCATTTCTTTTCTTAAAGGTAAAGGGACTCCTGATGGTTAAGTCCAGTCGCGAACGACTCTGGGATTGTGGCGGTCATCTCGCTTTACAGGTCGAGAGAGCCAGCGTTTTTCTGCAGACAGTTTTTCCGGGTCATGTGGCCAGCATGACTAATCCGTTTCTGGCAAAACCAGAGCAGTGCACGGAAACGCCGTTTACCTTCCCACCAGAGTGGTACCTATTTATCCACTTGCACTGGTGTGCTTTCAAACTGCTAGGTTGGCAGGAGCTGGGACCGAGGAACGGGAGCTCACCCCGTCGCGGGGATTCGAACGGCCGAAATTCTGATCGGCAAGCCCAAGAGGCTGAGTGGTTTAGACCACAACGCCACCCCCTCTAAACTGCAGTGGAGGGGCAGGACTAATGACTGAGAGTGCATCAAGTGAGGAGAAGTATTTCATAGAATCATAGGCGTGGATGGGACCCCAAGGGTCATCTAGTCCAACCCCCTGCAATGCGCAAATCACAGCTGAAGAAGCCCTGGCAGTTGGCGATCTGACTTCTGCTTAAAGCCATCAAATAAAGGAGAGTCCACCACCTTCCACCTTAAACACGCCCACCAATAATAATAATAAATAATAATAATAATAATAATAATAATAATAATAATAATAATACATTTTACTTATACCCCGCCCTCCCCGGCCAGAGCCGGGCTCAGGGCAGCTAACACCAGTAAAATTACAGTAAAAACATAATGGGGGGGGGGAGAAGCAATTTAAAATACAGGTTAAAATACAATTTAAAATGCAGCCTCCTTTTAATAGTAGCCCATAGATCATAACAATAAGGGGAGGGAAACATAAGAGTCAGGCTGAGTCCAAACCAAAGGCCAGGTGGAACAGCTCTGTCTTGCAGACCCTGCGGAAAGATGTCAGGTCCCGCAGGGCCCTAGTCTCTTGTGACAGAGCGTTCCACCAAGTTGGGGCCAGTACTGAAAAGGCCCTGGCCCTATAGTTGAGACCAATCTAAGCACCTTGCGACTTGGGACCTCCAAAATGTTGTCATTTGTGGACCTTAAGGTCCTCTGTGGGGCATACCAGGAGAAGCGGTCCCGTAGATACGTGGGTCCTAGGCCGCTTTTGGTCCCAATGAAAATCATGCCCCCTTATGTCAACGTTCGGGTCTGAGGAAAAGGCTGGGGCACATCCTCACCATATATTTAAAGCACATTTATAGCCATGGATTCCCTGAAAGAATCTGGGAGTTGCAGAAAAGGGGGTGGGGAGTGTTGTGCTTTAAATGCACGGGTGTGGAAGTGACCACAGGGTCACTTCCACAGGACCACAGTGTCAAAGCTAAGCAGGGACTGGTATGGTTTCCAATTGGATGGGGGACTGTGTGTCGCGATAGGGTGGGGTTGGACTAGATGACCCTTAGGATCCCTTCTAATGAGATGACCCTTAGGATCCCTTCCAATGAGTCTAACTGGGGGATCCCCGAGGATATAGGTACACTTGGGGGTGCCTTGTGGATATGAGGAGGAAACACAGAGAGCAGGCAACGTGGCCAAGTGGGATCTCTCTCTCTTTTTTTTTAAGATAATATTTATTAAAGTTTCAAACAAAATTACAATAATACGAAAAAGATAAGAAAAAGAAAAAAGAAAATACAAAAAGCAGAAAAAAATAGAATAACAATTAAAAACAAATCAGTCTTTCCATATCTTGTCTTTCATTTACTTGTTTCCCTGACCTCCTCACACCTCCCTTTTTTGCATTCCAGTTCAGTTAGTTAATTCAGCAAATCCTTTCCCTCTTTGTTTTTATCTTAATCTTTTATCTTAATATATTATTACTTTAAATTCACATCTATTAACAATCCATTTTTACATACACCTTTATAACATTGCTGCTAAAACCACTTAACTTCATTCCAACATCATTCTAACATTCATTAATTTTGCAGTATTTCTGTAGATAGTCTTTGAATTTCTTCCAATCTTCTTCCGCTGACTCTTCTCCCTGGTCTCGGATTCTGCCAGTCATTTCCGCCAGTTCCATATAGTCCATCACCTTCATCTGCCATTCTTCCAGGGTGGGTAGATCTTGTGTCTTCCAATACTTTGCAATAAGTATTCTTGCTGCTATTGTAGCATACATAAAGAAAGTTCTATCCTTCTTTGGCACCAATTGGCCGACGATGCCCAGGAGAAAGGCCTCTGGTTTCTTCAGGAAGGTATATTTAAATACCTTTTTCATTTCATTATATATCATCTCACAGAAAGCCTTAATCCTTGGGCACGCCCACCAAAGGTGAAAGAATGTACCTTCAGTTTCTTTACATTTCCAACACTTATTATCAGGCAAATGATAGATTTTTTCAAGCTTAACTGGTGTCATGTACTACCTGTATATCATTTTCATAATATTCTCTCTTAAGGCATTACATGCCGTGAACTTCATACCTGTGGTCCATAACTGTTCCCAGTCAGCCATCATAATCTTATGTCCAACATCTTGTGCCCATTTAATCATAGCAGATTTCACCATTTCATCCTGAGTATTCCATTTCAACAGCAAGTTATACATCTTTGACAAAGTCTTAGTTTTGGGATCTAACAGTTCTGTTTCCAATTTTGATCTTTCCACCTGGAAGCCAATTTTCTTATCCGCATTGTATGCCTCCCATTATTTGATAATAATGAAGCCAATCTCGCACTTTATTTTTTAGTTTTTCAAAGCTCTGCAATTTCAATTTATCTCCCTCTTGTTCCAGAATTTCCCAATATTTCGGCCATTTGGCCTCCATATTGAGCTTTTTCTGAGCCTTTGCTTCCATTGGTGACAACCACCTTGGGGTTTTATTTTCAAGTAAATCCTTATATCTTATCCAGACATTAAACAATGCTTTCCTGACAATATGGTTTTTAAATGCTTTATGTGCTTTGACCTTATCATACCACAGATATGCATGCCAACCCAAGTGGGATCTCTTTTAATGCCGGAAGTCCGACGAGAAAAAGAATCACACATAACACAACAACAACAACAGGCTCCTAAGCAGCAGGCAAAGAGAACACGCTGTTCCCCTTTCAAATCTGGGCACCCATCCAGCGGGGCCTTCTTCATTTCATTTTATTCTATTTTATTCAATCTGGGTGCTCTCATGCTCAGAGTGCTTTCTCTTGCGCTGAGCAAAAGAACAAATTTCCGGTCGTTTCCTTCAGGTCTCCCAGCAGTCTGGCTCATTTCAAATGTGCGGCAGAAACAGAAGCGTCGCCACTTAAATCCGCTTTAAGTGCAAGTTAATGAGGTAGATCCCAAACCAGGCCCGGTCAGTAGTAGATCCACCAAGAAGGCCCACTTGGATCTGAGAGGAAGCGAGGCAGGCCTCAAACCAGGCCTGGGTATCATTGTGCATCGTGCTGAAGAAGCTCACAGTTTTCCGAGTCTGGGGGGGGTGAAATCCTGAGCGCTGGGCTCACTGGCGCTTCCACAGATAAGTCTGGATGGAGTTGGCGGGGATCTCGGTCAGAATAAGGCCATTCAGGTCGGAAATGGCAAAGGGGACATTGAACCCGGAGCTGAGCAGGGGGAAGGAAGCAAATTAAGAACGTGAGAGGAGGAATAAACAATACTTCGTAGCAGGACTGCATGGGTTGGTATTGAACAATGACAGGGCTTTCTAGGTGGTGGCTCCCTCTAAGTGGAATCTCCCTGGTGAGATGGGTCTCCCTCCCTCTCATTATTAACATCGAGGAGGATTTTTTTAAACAACAACAACAACACATTCCCCCGAACATTTCATGGCTGAAATAGACTGCTCTCAGAAGCCTTGAAATTAGCTTAAGAGGATTTGACTGGTTTTTTAAAAAATGTTTTTACTTTTCTGCATTATCTATTTGGGGGGGGCAGGGGGGAAACAGTCTCTGTACTGCTCCTGTGTTTTGTAACTTTGATTACGTTTCTTCTCCCTGCATACAGATCAGAATGAGTGCTTATTAGTAGCACGTGCTGAAAAACAAGATTGCTCTGGAAGAATAAGGCTGACCTATCTTTTTAAAAAAGCTTGGATTGACATGATATGGTCAACTGTGCTTTCTGAACAGCTCACCTATCAGGCTAGACTCCCCTGTGGTGCCAGACTGCTACACCACTGTGCCGTTTCTCTCTTTGCTTTTATAGTGGACGCTCGGGTTGCAAAAGTGATCCGTGTGGGTTGCATTTTCGCAACCTGCATCTGCGCACGACTGGGTTGTGATCCGGCACTTCTGCGCATGCGCAAAGTGTGATTTATCGCTTCTGCGCATGCACGACTGCCGAAACCAGGAAGTAACCTATTCCGGTATTTCCAGGTTTTGGCGGTCCGCAACCTGAAAAAATGTAACCTGAAGCGGCTGTAACCCGAGGTATGACTGTACTCTGCTTGCTGCCGGCCGGCCTTGTCTCACTCATTTCCCTGCTTGCAAGATCTGCCCTGTGCCTTTGACCCGAGTGCCCAACACTCACCGGTTAAGAACAACGACCACGGCAGCTCCGTCGGGGCGAAGTACAGCCACGTGCTCCAGGCTGCACCCGAAGCCTTTCTGCACCACACTCAGCCCGATGCGCTGGGAGCCTTCCGGAATAAATTTGCTGTGCAGAGAGAAAGAGAGAGGAGACAGAGAGTCTGATAACTGCCAGGTTTCAGCCAGGGAGTTCCTCATCAGAGGAAGATCAGGAAAGCCTGGCCTTGTGGTAAGCGTTGGGGGTTTATTATTAATATTATTTTGGTAATGATTTTTTTATTAAATATTTTATTAAACCTTCCAGATTGTGTAATAATTCATAATTCCAATCATACATACCGTCTTGGCCTGAATATAAGCCGCACTTTCCCCCCAAAAAAATTCCGACCGTGAAAATTTAAAGTGTGGCTTAAATTCACGACCTTACAAAAATTGGCTTTTACAACATGGCTGCTAAAACAGACATAAAGTAATACGGAACAAAGAAATGTTTTATTGCCAATTTGCGAGCTTGAGACTGTTGTGCAATTAATTCTAATGTCATCCATCGCTTTCCCCGTATTTTACAGTGCAGTATTGATTTTTTATTTGCATTTACGGTGCTACGAACAGGTGTTTAACCCACTGGTGGATCCTCTCTAGCAACTGGAGGATTCTCTTCTACATTTGCCATTTGCAGGTGTGAGTGGCTGCGGAATAGCAATTTGCGGTTTTAGCTACTGTTTTCCAAATACAGTGGTACCTCGGGTTAAGTACTTAATTCGTTCCGGAGGTCCGTACGTAACCTGAAACTGTTCTTAACCTGAAGTACCACTTTAGCTAATGGGGCCTCCCACTGCTGCCGTGCCGCCGGAGCACGATTTCTGTTCTCATCCTGAAGCAAAGTTCTTAATCTGAAGCACTATTTCTGGGTTAGTGGAGTCTGTAACCTGAAGCGTATGTAACCTGAGGCATATGTAACCCGAGGTACCACTGTACTAGATATATGGCATATGGTAAAATAAAACCACTATTTTATTCCCTGAATTTAATTTTCGTTTCTTTTCCTCTCCAATTTTAAGGGAGCAGCTTATATTCAGGTATTGTCTTTTTCTCTCTCCCCGCCCTTGAATTTTAAAGACGCGGCTTATTTGCGGGTGCGGCTTGTAATCGAGCCAATACGGTATCATTTTGTTGTTGTTACACATTTTCTTCTTGACTTCCTGTCGCCCCTTCCCTGGTAATTTTTTATTATACCCCCTTAGTAGCTGCATTCAAACACATCTATATTTATTTTCTAAGCTCCCAAAGTCCATTCTCTACGTTCTTCCTTTGCTCCTATCTCAAAGCCTGCACGTGATTTCGTATAAGAATGATAGTCTGATAGGTAATCCAGTAAGCGCTGGTTGGGTGATTTGAACCCAGGACCCAGGCCAGGCCTCTAACCAGTACACCACAGGGGCAGCAAACATGCCAGCTCCAGGCATCATCATCTCACCTGAAGTGACCCATGTGGTAGAACATCGGCTGCTTATAGAAAATATCGTTGCCCGCATCCACGATGATGGGGCTGTCCACAAAGTTCTTGACCCAGTTGGGTCCGCCTTCCAGATCCAAGGCCAGGTTCCAGTCGATCCAGCCCGTGACGTGTTGGTTAAGGTTCTGCAAGGAGAAGCTGCTAGGTTTTAACTGCAAAGAGTCAGAAGGGTCATCTATGGCTCCGATCTGGTGGAACGCTCTGTCACAAGACACTAGGGCCCTGCGGGACTTGACATCTTTCCGCAGGGCCTGCAAGACAGAGCTGTTCCACCAGGCCTTTGGCCAGGGCACAGTCTGGCCCCCTCCTTTGGTAATCTTCACAGAAATCTAGCCCAATGGTTGCCATCAATTTGATTTGAATTGATTTTATAATGAAATGATTTTAGAATGTTTATTTTTTTTTTGTTAGCCGCCCTGAGCCCGGCTTCAGCTGGGGAGGGCGGGATATAAATAAAATTTATTATTATTGTAATGGGAATTGGGGTTGCTTGTGCGTAAACTCCCCAACCGTTCCACGCTGGTTGTATAGCTAAACCTTTCCCTGGTTTGACAGCCCTCACAACGCGACTGTCTCAATCACTGGCAGAATCCGTCAGTGGGCGTTTCCTGAACTTCTTCCAACATAAGAATTCCTTGACAGCAAGTCTCCGCCTAGCTTCTCTGCGCGGAAGCCTTCTGCGCAGCGTGGGTGTGCCAAGCGGAGGTCCTGCACTCTCCTCGCTGATCTCACTGGAAGAGTCCCGGAGCCTCCCCTCCGAAGTACTCTCAGCCTCTCCTTTCTTCCTGGTGTCACCTTGATTACCTTCCCCAGCGGAAGCTCTCTCTCTCTCCTTGCTAGTTCCCTCCCCTGCATCATTGGGGCGACTTCCCTCTCCGCTAGTCTCTGATGTCAGTTCCCTGACTATTATTATTATTATTATTATGATTACAGTGGTGCCTCGCAAGACGAAATTAATCCGTTCCGTGAGTCTCTTCGTCTTGCGGTTTTTTCGTCTTGCGAAGCACGGCTATTAGCGGCTTAGCGGCTATTAACGGCTTAGCGGCTTTAAGAAAAAGGAAACAAACTCGCAAGAAGTTTCGTCTTGCGAAGCAAGCCCATAGGGAAATTCGTCTTGCGGAACGACTCAAAAAGCAGAAAACCCTTTCGTCTAGCGAGTTTTTCGTCTTGCGAGGCATTCGTCTTGCGGGGCACCACTGTACTATTATTATTATTATCTAATCCAAACCCCTGAAATGCAGGAATCTTTTGCCCCACGTGAGGCTGGAACTCACAACCCTTAGATCAAGAGTCTCGCGCGCTGCCAACTGGAGGGGAGAGGAGAGAAGGAGCCAGGGAGGCCCAAACCACCTCCCCACCCCGGCCACCACAGGTCCTACCGCCAAGATGTTGCGGCTGTACTGGTTCCCCCGATCCCAGGAGCCGAGGACCACGTCCCTCTCCCAAAAGTGTGACCCGGCGCAGGCTTCGGTGGAGATAATGAAGTAATCCGGGAAGAGCTGATGGGTGATTCCTACTGTGCTGGCGATGGGGGCAATGAAGTCCAGGTACCAGTGGACGCCAATGCCGTGGACGTAACGGTGAGCCGGGCTGTCTCCGCTTAGCACCTAGCAGAAGAAAAGAAAGAAGCATCAGGGGGAAAGAAAGGGAACAGTAACGTCAGGGCGTCACGTCCAGCAACCCGCAATTTCCGTTGGCGCCTCTGATTACTGCCAACCTATGTAGGGGAAGAAGGGCAGCACATTAATTCAATTAAAAAAAAATCCTGCAGGGGGGAAAATCATTTAAAAACATATAAATTTATTATTATTATTATTATTATTATTATTATTATTATTATTATTATGCAGGGGAGAATCACATTCAAAAACATGTTCAAGTACCGTATTGGCCCAAATATAAGCCGCAGCCGCAAATAAGCCGCACCTTCAAAATTGAAGGGGAGAAAAGAAAAAGAAAATAATACCCGGGCTGTTTCCTGGGGGAGCTTTGCTGGCAACATAAGGTTGCGAATATAAGCCACACTATAACTTTTCACAGTCAGAATTTGGGAGGGAGGGTGGGGAAAACGTGGCTTATATTCAGGCCAATATGGTACATATCTTTTTTTCCCCTTTCCTTAATGTGTGGGCCGCTCTAGCCCCGCCACATTGTGGTAGAGGAGGACTGCTTTGCTTTACCACAAAGTGGCACGGCTAGAGCAGCTGGCTCTTCTTTTTCTTCCTTTGCTTGACGTGCCGGCCGCTCTAACTGCACTGCTTTGTGGTCGAGCAAAGCTGTCCTCCTCTACCACAAGGTGGCGCTTTGGTGTGATCCACCAATGCAGGTCTACAACAAAGTGGCCCGGCTAGAGTGGCTCACACGGCAAGGAAATAAGGGAAAACAACAACAACAACTATTATTATTATTATTATTATTTTATTTATACCCCGCCCTTCCCGGTTTCAAAACCGGGCTCAGGGCGGCTATCAGCAAATATAAAACAATGATTAAAATGCGACTTAAAAACAACATAAAAACACATAATGCAGTATCAATGTCAATAAAATTCTAAAATTCAGGGTAATTTTTTTTGGGGGGGGGACCCAGTCAGTAAACATCAAATGATCACCAGGGCTAACTGGCCAAGTTGGTCCTACTAGGGCCAGCAAGGAGACCAGGGAACAGTTTAAATGTGGGGTCCCAGAAGGGTTTCTTCATTAAAAAAAAGGAAAAGGAAAAGAAGGATCAGGCTAATTCAAATTGTAGTCCAGGCAGAATAACTCTGTTTTACAGGCCCTGCGGAAGGAGATCAAGTCCGGCAGCTCTAACCGCGCCACTTTCACACCAAAACGCCTCCAGTGAGCTGAAAGCAGCAGTAGCGGGGGGGCAGGCAGGGGAGGGCATAGTTGTCAAGCGTCCCTTATATGGCGGGACAGTCCCTTATCCCAGCGCCATGTCCCGCTGCTGTCCCTTATTGATGGTGTCCCTTAAATTTCCCGGGTTTCAAAGGAAGCAGCTCCTCTCCCTCCCTCCCTGCCGACTAGGGAGGAGGGAGGCTCCAACTGTGTTGCTTGGCTGCGTTGCTCACCCAATAAGGAGTCTAAGAACGACTGGGGGGTGGAGCTTGCATGCCTTGTGCCGATCAAATCGGCCACGTTGCTTGGGGACTCGCCTTTGCTCAGCGCTTCCCAGCGGAGAAGGGACGGTGGTTTTCCTTGCTGCATCCCCTTTGGCGGGTTGCTGCGCTGTGGGAACCACCGCTTGAGGCTTTGTTTGGCTGCTGGCTGGGCTTTCTGCCTTTGGCTCGGAGGGGCTCAGAAGTGTGCTGGGGAAATCCCTTATTTTGGCTGCTGGTCCCTTATTTTCGAGGCTGCTGGTCCCTTATTTTCAAATCTATAAGTTGACAGCTATGGGGGAGGGAGCTTACTGGCACCTCCTTTTTTCAAATAAAACACCGTGCGGTACTCACCACTTTGGCCCAGCTAGGCAAATGTATGCGGTTGTCATCCAGGATTATGAGCCGGATACCCTTGTAGGAGCTGTTTGCCAGGGCAGGGCCCAGATCCAGAGCAATAAAGTCCCGCTGCTGCTCAGCTGTGAAGCCCAGACACTGGAAGGGGTAGTTTTCCAGAAGCCCCGCGCTAGGTTCATTTTCCGCCGTCACCGCCCAGAAGGTCACATTCCGCTTGGCGTACTCATCCAGGAACCTGGCAGAGGGACGGGGGGGAATATACCTGTTGCTTTAAGCGGGACTGCCTTGAAACCTTCGATTCTAAGCAACCATACTAAGGTATAAATCTGTGGTGTGGCTGCCTTTGGAATGCCATGTTCGGTTCTGGTCGCCTCAGAAACAATACTGTAGGGTTGGAAAAGGTTCGGGGGGGGGGAAGGGCAACGGAAACGAGGATGAAGCAATTGTTTGGGACCTTTTAGTTTGAGAAAAGACAGAAGTTTATTTTCACCTGGCATGGGGTAAGTGGGCAGAGAAAATCTTTTCTCCCTCCTTACTATCAGAAGAACCTGTGGACGTTCAATGAAGGTTGAAAGCTGGAGGTTTGGGGACAGATAAAAAAAAAAGGACTTATTCACGCAGGGCAAATGATGGAGCTTGCTCCTACACCAGGGAGTGACCGGCCACCAACCTAGATGGCTTTAAAAGAGGATTCGACCAATTCAAGGAGAAGGCTGCAAATGGCCAGCAGCCACAATGGCTAAGATTGCTGACAGGAGGCAACAAGCCAGGCTGGCCCAACTCACAAAAACTACGTAGATGGGTAAGGTAAAGGTAAAGGGATCCCTGACCATTAGGTCCAGTCGTGGCCGACTCTGGGGTTGCGGCGCTCATCTTGCTTTACAGGCCAAGGGAGCCGGCGTTTGTCCGCAGACAGTTTTTCCAGGTCATGTGGCCAACATGACTAAGCTGCTTCTGGCGAACCAGAGCAGCGCACGGAAACACCGTTTACCTTCCCGCCAGAGCGGTACCTATTTATCTACTTGCACTTTGATGTGCTTTCGAACTGCTAGGTTGGCAGGAGCAGGGACCGAGCAACGGGAGCTGACCCCGTCGCGGGGATTCGAACCGCCAACTTTCTGATCAGCAAGTCCTAGGCTCTGTGGTTTAACCCACAGCGCCACCCACGTCCATGTAGATGGGTAGTATGTGGCTGTTCGTTCTTTCTTTCTTTCTTTCTTTCTTTCTTTCTTTCTTTCTTTCTTTCTACCTACCTACCTACCTACCTACCAGGCCTAGAGACTACTCTGTGTGTGTGTGTGTGTGTGTTTAAATGAAAGCTCACAGCCCCTGGCCAATGAAGGCCCTCGCACGCATGCCATGGCTGGCAGCCTCTGGACTAGATAGCCAAGGGCTTTGGCTTAGCACGAGGCAGCTTCGTACGTCCATCCTCACAACAAGGTCGGTCAGACTGAGAGACTCAGCGACTGGGCCAAGCCTTCCCAGTGGGGATGTGAATCTTGGTCTCCCAGAGTCCAGCACCATGAATCCCCGCTCAGTGGTGGAGGAAGGGGGGGGTGCAGCCCGCCCTGGGTGTCATCACTGGGGGGGATGACCACAAAATGAGTTTTTAAAAAATTGGGCTCATGAAACTTTGTAGGAGTGACGTGGTGGCTTAGGTGCCTGCAGGTTCTGCGCTGCCTGATACGGCAGTGTGGGACTTGTGTCTGTCTACCGCCTCTCCCTCAGCCGCCCTACAGCTGAGGTGGAGGCGGCGGAGAGGCTCGCCCTGTCCGCATGGGCACGGATCGCCCTGCCACCGGCGGCAGGACACATCCCCGCACCAGGCACCCGAGTGGCTAGCTACGCCGCTGTCCACGCTCTCTCTCTCATCTTCGGTCCCTTCCCTCTGCTAATACCGATTTTACCTGACAAAATAGTTGGCCCACGCCTTGTGGTACCGGTCTCCCGCCTGCCCTTTGAGGGACCCCTTCCCTTTCCACGCATTGTTGGTTTTCATCCAAAGCGGAGAGGACCATGGGCTGGCCATAAGGGATAAGGGTTTCTTAGACATAGCCTTGGCACGGTGAACGAGGGGAATCTGTGGGGAGAAAGAGAGCAAGGAGCCGGTGAGGAAGATTTCAGACAAAAGGAGCTGAAACTCCGGTTATTCCTTCAAAAGGTGCAACTCGTTTGATTACAGCTCAAGGCCGGAAGGACGCCTCTGCATATTCTAGAGCAAATCCTTTCAAAACCATTTTTCGGGATGTTGCCATATAATCACCATCATCATCAAGTTCTACTGCTCAAACCAAATACAGGTTATAGCGAAAAACAAAGAAAGAAAGAAACGTCGGGTCTCAAAAACATAATATAGCACATATGATGCAAACATTATAATCCACAAATGGCAGAAAACTTAGGGCACCAGACAGGACTCTTGGGTTTTCCTGAGTTGAGAAGCATTTACTGCAAACTTCGCTGTGTTAAACATAACCGGTTTGTTTAAACTAGGCAGCAGGGAATTGATTTTATCAACATTGGCCGCTGTATCTGAAAAATAAAGGTCATCGAGGGAGATGGTGGCCCACTAGACTTCACACCCAGGGACAATACGAGCTGAATTTCAGCAACACCTGGAAGGCCAAAGATGTTCCCCACACCTGATATAAATTAAATAAACACCGACAACTGGGAAATACTGGCCTGCGAGCGCTCCAATTGGAGAACAGCCTTTGCCAATGGTGTTGTGGGTTCTGAAGACGCTCAAACTCAGGACGAAAAGGAGAAACGTGCTAAGAGGAAGGCACACTTGGCAAACCCTCACCGTGATCAACTCCCGCCCGGAAACCTATGTCCTCACTGTGGAAGGACGTGTGGATCCAGAACTGGCCTCCACAGTCACTTGCAGACTCACTGTTAAAACCGTGTTTATGGAAGACAATCTTACTCGGCTACGAGGGATCGCCAAAGAAGAATATAAATTAAGCAAGATAAACGACAAAGGCCTCTGCCCACAAGGGAGGAAGGCTGCAGCCGCCACCCCCTGCCTGCCAACCTCCCGCCACCTCTGCGGCCACCCCACTCACTTTCAGTTTGATGTCCTCGTGAACCAAGCTGAAGTTCTTCAGCTCAAAGTCGTATGGCGAGTCGGCATAAGAGTAAGGGCGCACGGAGAAGTCGCAGCTTGCCATGGGCATGCGCAACAGGTTGTACTCGATTCCTGCAGGTGTGGAGGGAGAGAAGACATGACAAAGGACCACTTTATAAGTCAGAGCACTGATCCATCGAGGTAAGTGCTGGCAACACCAGGGGTAGGAAGGAACATTTGGGTCTCCTGGAAACTGCTGGACTCCAGCTCCCACCAACCCCCAGCCAGCAGGGCCAATGGGCAGGGCTGATGGGAGTTGTAGTTTAGCAACATCTGGAGGACCACAGCTTGCCTGGTCTACTCCAATCAGCAGCCACTCTTCCAGGATCACTCTCAGCCCTTCTACCCAGGTAGAAATGTTGGGGACTCAGCCTTCTGTATGCAGAGCCTCTGATTTTGAGGTTTTGACCTTTAAAGCCCTTTGTGTCTTAGGGACCTCATATTTACGGGACCGCCTCTCCTGGTCTGCCCCACAGAGGACCTTAAGGTCCATGAATAATCATAGTTTAGAGGTCCCGGGCCCTAAGGAAGTCAGATTATCCTCCACTAGGGCCAGGGCCTTCTCAGTGATGGCTCCGACCTGGTGGAATGCGACTAGGGCCCTGCAGGATTTAACCTCCTTCCGCAGGGCCTGTAAAACAGAGCTATTCCGCCTGGCTTTCAATTTGAATTTAGCCTGATCTTTTATTCTCCTGCCTTCCCTCCCCCTACCCTTTCTATGAAGATTACCCCCTCTGGGATCCTCACAGCTAATTCTCCCCTCACTGGCCCAAATAGGACTAATTTAGCCAGCTAGCCCTGGTGATCATCTAATGTTTATTGGATGGATTTCCCCCTAAATTGATTTTTGAATTTTGAATTTATTGTTCACACTGTTATACTGTATTTTGTTTATTATTCACACTGTTATACTGTATTTTATGCTGTTTTTTGTTGTATCACAATTAAGTGTTTGAAATTTATTGTTAACCACCCTGAGCCTGGTTTTCTGAACTGGGAAGGGCGGGGTATAAATAAATTATCATCATCATCATCATCTCCAGGGCTGAATTAACCATCAAACAAAATAGGCACATGCTTAGGGCATCAAGGGAAAGGGGGCACCACGTAAATTTTCCATTGCAGGATTTTTAACATTACATAAGGATCCGATCAAAGACTTTGCAATTAGAAAAAGCAGATTTTAAAAAATATATAAATAAAGTGGAAGTATAAAAAACAAACATTGTTCCCCATCTTACTGTCTGTTTTGTTTTGAAAAATAAAAAAAACTATTCTACAATTTATTGTTGTCTATATTTTGAATTAGATATATATGGAGGGCACCAAAAGCTTTGAAGTGCTTGGGGCCTCTAAAGGTCTCAATTCATGAGGCCGGAGGAACATCGCCTGGCTGTGAAGGCCGCTCCCTGCAAGGCCCTCTCCACCTGGCCTAGGCACTGGGCCCAGACTCACCGGCCCTACTGAAGAGGCTCCTCATGAGGCCGGGGAAACATCGCCCGGCTATTGTTTTATTGGTTGATTTATTTAATATGCTGTAAACCGCTTTGAGATTTTTATTAAAAATATAAAGCGTGAGGTTCCTACTTCTAGTTCTAAGGCAGGGGTCTGCAACCTTTAAGACAAAAAGAGCCACTTGGACCCGTTTCCGAAGAAAAAACAACAACTGGGAGCCGCAAAACCATTGCGACATTTAAAACAAATATATCTCTGGAGCCACGATCTGACAGCAGGCGGGAAGGTGACGTCGGGACGGTGCGTGACTAACGCACGCACCGCCCCCATGCGACGTCACAGCCAGTACAGCGCCCGCCACAGCGAGGAGTGTCGGGGTGCACAATGCGCCTCCTCCCCTCGCTAGTATCCGCCCCGGAGCCGCGGCAAAGATGTAAAAGAGCCACATGCGGCTCCGGAGCCGCGGGTTGCAGACCCCTGTTCTAAGGGAATTGTTGCTGCTGACTCTGGTTCAATGGACTTCTGCCCACCATCCTGGGCTCCACGGCCCCTCTGATCCCCCCAGCTCAGAGCCAGGAATCAGGTCTGGATCCTTAGCTGTTGACAATGTAGCCGCAGACCCAAAGACCTGGTCACTGCTAGATGGATCCAGCCCTTTCCCTGGTCTCCCCAAGGGCTGATTGCCCCAACCCACTCCACCCACCAGTCCCTGAGCCCTTACCTTCATCTGAGAAGTAGGAACGCAGCAGATTGTCCTGGGTTTCTGGTGTCAGAGAGTAGACATTTATGCCAACCG